AAGGAAAGGAAGGAAAGGAAAGGAAAGGAAAGGAAAGGAAAGGAAAGGAAAGGAAAGGAAAGGAAAGGAAAGGAAAGGAGAGGGAAAAGGAAAATGAAAAGAAAGGAGAGGAAGGGGAGGAGTGGGGAGGGGAGGAGAGGGGAAGAGAGGGGAGGGGAGGCAAAGGAAGGGGGAGGGGAAGGGGGAAGGGAATGGGGAAAGAAAGAGGGAAGGAAGGGGAAGGAGAAGGGGAAAAGAAGGGAAAGGGGAATGACAATGGGAAGGGGAAGGAAAGGGGAAAAAAAGGAAAGGAAAGGAAGACAAAACTAGCTCATAGATACAGAGAACAATTGCTGATTGCCAGAGGCCATGGTGTGGGGAATGGGTGAAATGGATAAAGAAGATCAAGAGATACAAACTTCCCTTACAAAATAAAGAAGTCGTGGGGATGTATGCACAACAAAGTAGAGTTATGACTACTGTACTACATATTTGAAAGTTGCTCTTAAAAGAGTAGACCTTAAAAGTTTTCATTACATGAAAAAAAAAATTATAACTATGTATGGTGATCAATTTAACTAGACTTACTGTGGTGATCATTTTGTGGTATCTATAAATATTGAATCATTGGGAAAAAAGCAGCTCTTATTTATTTTATCAGCGTTAGCATCATGAAGACAGTTGTTCAATCTGGTAAATCCAGAGAAACTTCTGCCTCACTGAGAGAAAGATGATGTTAGGTATACCATAGTTATCTCCTGATATTTGGTGCTACCCCAAACCATCTTCAGACAAGTTGGCCCAATCATTATGAAAACTATTGTGGGAACAATTTCAAGAACTTCAACAGGTGAATCAATCTTGTCTTACTAGAAATTATTTTTTTTAAAAATTATTCTAACCCACAAATAAATATGTTTGAGCAATGTTCAAAACTCTTAACTCTAGAACCATTTAAACACTTATGCATGAATTTTCTTTATTACACCAAATCCTAAGCATTTACTATAGTTTAGGATTTTTTTTTTTTACATAGTTTCTTATTGGATGAAAGCTTTCCCTAACACATTGCCCTTTCCACCTAAATTATTCCAACAAGGAATTTAGCACTTCTCTAAACTCTTCCTTCATCAGACTCACAACTGGTGAGGTAGAATCATATAATTCACAATAGTTTCTGTATTGTAATCTCAGATCTACTGTGGAAGTTCATTCTTATGGTATTAATCTTACTATATTCCATCCAGCTGCCACAAGGTGATAAAAAGTCACATATGTCAAAATACATAAGCCAGAGTAATGCACTGATGTGGGTTTTACACTTAATTTTTTTCTCCATACATTAATATTCCTGGCTTTGAAAGAGAAAGAAATTTAATAATTTTTAAAAGAAAGACTAAATATTCTGATAATTTAGATGTCCCAAATACTAACACAGTCAGTTTTAGAGCGTGGCCCTATTTTTAGAGTTAGAAGATGGAAAATTACCACATTTAGTTCAAGCCTCCAAGTGAGAACTTCTGAGTTTTTGCTTCAGCAAACAGCATAATTTAAAAAGGAAACCCCCAAACAACATTCTATCTATAGTCCACATGGAAATTTAGATTTAAATTTAAATTTTCTTCAGTGCTCTGTACAAAGAAGCCTTTACCTGAGCATTCCTCAGGCTGTAAATGAGAGGGTTCAGCATTGGGTTAAAGAGACTATGAAAAAGGGACAATATTTTCTCGTGCTCTTCTCGTTGTTTGGAATCTGGGACCATATAAACGACCATGGCTATGCCAAAGAAGAGTCCAACCACACAAAGGTGGGAGGAGCAGGTGGAGAAGGCCTTTCTGCGGCCCTCCCCAGACTGGATCTTAAGGATGGCCCAGAGGATGCACATATAGGAGATTAGCATTAAGCTGAGGGGCCCAACTAAGACAAACACACAGGCAGCAAGGATAACCAATTGGTTGATCCATGTGTCAGCACAGGCCAGCTTGAGGACAGATAGGATTTCACAGAAGAGGTGGTTCACTTCCCAGGGTCCGCAGAAGGGCAACCTTAGAAGGAGAATTGCATGTATCAGAGCCAGAATAAATCCGCATGACCAGGAAGTGACAGCCAGGACCAGGCACACTCTCCAGCTCATGACGACAGTATACTGGAGGGGGTGGCAGATTGCCACAAACCTATCATAGGACATGGCCACCAGAATCAGACACTCTGTAGCAGCAAAACCCAAATACAAAAATGTCTGCATTATGCATGGAACAAAGGAGATGGTTCTTTTCTGATTCACTAAGTTTGCCAACATCTTGGGGACATTGTTGGATGCATAGGAGATGTCAATGATGGCCAGATGGGAGAGGAAAAAGTACATGGGGGTGTGTAGTCTCGGGTCCAGACAGATGAGTCCCAAGATCATGCCGTTTGCCAACAGACTGAAGATGTAGAGCAGGGAGAAGAGCCAGAAGAGGGACATTTCCGTCTCTGCACTGAGCTGAAATCCCACCAAGATGAATTCTGTGACCCATGACTGGTTGCTTCCCATTTCTTTATGACTGTTTGTCAAGGATTGAGGTGTGAGAAAAGGTCAGAGCTGGAGAATCCACAAAAATTGGAGTTACTTATCTCAAAATGAACTTAGAGAAAGCTTGTATCCTTGTTTCTACTTGACAGCTTCCCTGTCTCCCCAAATTGGGTGCCTTCTTGATTTCAACTTTTTTTAAAGTAGGCTCCACAACCAACAGGGGGCATGAAATCACAGCCCTAAGGTCAAGAGTTCGACTCTCCACTGACTGAGCTTCCCAGGAGCCCCTGACTTGAACTACTAATATGAAAGTTTAAACTCACAGAAAAGGGTGAAGCATTATACGAAGAACTCCCATATTCCTTCAGACAGATTCAACAAATGTTAATACTTCTTTCATATTTGCCTTATTCTCTTTTTCTCTACGTTTGTGTATTTTTTTTCTGAGAGTTGGATGAATTCAGTACTTTATAAAACACTGAGAATTATCATATATGACTTTAGAGGATACCAGGCTTAGGTAAATGTAAATTCTTGGGCTAGTGTATATCGGGCTGGAAAATGCATAGGGGTCATTCACAAATATCAGCATGGTTACAAACCATGGGCATCACTACCCTTGTGTAATCCTGATGGAGTGTGGCCGTGGGGGTCATATTCCTCATTTGAACCATTTCATCCAAGTTTTCACTCATAACTACAAAGAGATAGATGGCAACCAACTCAACCTTCTCTAGGCCCCGTTAAGAAGACTAATTACAAAACAGCTGGTAAAAAGAGTATTTACTGCTCTTGGGAATCAGAGTAGGTTCACGTAAAGAGGCTCTTCAGGTACCTATTAACTGTATAGGCTTGGTCAATATTAACAGTTAAAAGAATAATACCCTCACTATGAAGATATGGATAATCCTCAAGGTAAAATACAAATGTCATGTATTTGAACTGACATTCCCTTTCACCGAATAGTAAATCTCATGGGCCTGCAATATGTCCTGTACATCTTTACATCTCAAATAACTAGTATCATTCTAGATGAAACAGGCACTCAGGAAATGTTTGTGAGACGGATGACTGTCATTTTAGTGCAAAAAATGGATGTAATGTGTATCTTCTACTTGCTAGTTTCTTTTGATAAAGACATGGTTTCTGCTTCATTAGAGAAGTTCACAGTTATGATAAAACAGAAACAAAGACAAAGTCATAGATTCTTTCACCTCTGTCAATATGATTGCATGTGGGAAGATTCTATGCATATGTGCATGAAGTTTGTGACATTGAATTTTTGCTACAATTAAAGACTATACCTGTATTACGTAAAGTGGGTAACAACATCAATATTGTAAAATCTACAGAGGCACAGGTGGATACAATGAGCAATGTCTGAAACACATTTAATCTCTGAACATAAAGAATACAAATAATGTTGAAGGTAATCAATCTATCACTATTCAGTAGGAACACTTGTTTATGAACTTTTTAGTCTAGTTACTTTTGTGTGTGAATGAGTATATCTTTTCATTCTTATTTTCATTGCCATTATTTCCATTTTACTCTTTAAAAATGAACAACATGAAAATAAAATTGAAAGTAGGTTAAAACTCTTTAGAGTCTGGGGCGCCTGGGTGGTGCCTGTTGAGCGTCTGACTTTGGCTCAGGTCATGATCTCATGGTTCGTGGGTTCGAGCCCCATATCGGGCTCTGTGCTGACAGCCAGCTCAGAGCCTGGAGCCTGTTTCAGATTCTGTATCTCCCTCTCTCTCTGCCCCTCCCTGCTCATGCTGTCTCTCTCTCAGAAATAAATAAAACATTTTTAAAAACCTCTTTAGCAGTTAGAGTACTGGAAGAGAGAAGAAAATGTCTCAATAATGATGCCTGAAATGTCACCCCCCTGATAGACAAAATGAAACAATAGCAACTCAAATAAGAAAAGTTTTGCATTGTTGTATGAGCAGTGCTATCTGGGCAGTCCTGTACCCCAGAATTTTTTTTATTTTAAAGAGAGAGACAGAGAGACACACAGAGATTGACAGAGCACAAGCAGGGGACAGGGAAAAGGGAGAGAGACAGACAGAGAGAGAAAGAGAGACAGAGAGAGAGAAAGAGAATAAAGCAGCTGCATGCTCAGCATGGAACCCAACACAGGGCTTGATCCCAGGACCCTGGGATCATGACCTGAGCAAGAATCAAGAATCGAAGTCTCAACCAACTGAGCCACCCAGGTTCCCCTCAGGATGTGTTGTGATCAAGGGGGCTATATTCTATTTCTTCAGTCTTCTCCAGGAATGCTGACACTCATTATTCCCTATTTTGTGATAGGAGAGACATGAACATACCATACAGTGATTTTTAAGTCTGATAAATATCACAACAGGGTGATAACCTGGGATAGTCCAAAAGAAATAATGTTATGGCAGACTTAAGCCTTACAGTGTTTGAGCAAAGACTTACTGTAGCTGTTACTAGAATTTTCTTTTCCATTGAGACAGGTTTCTCTGGACATCAATATCTTCATTTAGGGTAGGTAATATACAAAGTCCTTTCATTATTTTGGCCATTGAAGAGCCTTATTCAGAGACAACAGTTTGATATAAGGCTTCTGATTTTCTGAGCCCCCTCACAATGAGACAGTCGTGCTAGCTCTGCCCACCACCACTCAGTTACAGTTTCATTGGTAGGAAATGGTGAGAAGTGGTGGGGAAGTTCAAGGATGCTCTGATCACAACTCTGTAGGCAGAGGTTGGGGAAGGAAACATCCAGGTGCCGATTGTACCTACCTACAGTGCACAGTGGGAGTCAGGAAGGAAGATCACCCCGGAATGTCATTCTTGTCCACACAGCCTGTCCTTTATCAGCTACCCATACCGAAAACACCTCCCAGCATAAATTCATCCCTTCTGCATAAGGATGTGTTAGCACTGGGTTTTGTCACAAAAATCTACTTTGACCTAGAATAAATCCTCCAGAGGTGAGCAATGTACCTCTAAAATGAGTGTAGTGTCCTGTTCCCTTAGCAGCTTTCAGAGGATTAAATCCCAGATACAGAAGGAGTCACTCACTAGACTTGCTGAAGGCTCTTTGGGAGGACCCCAGGAGCATAGGTTTTATTTTAGAATCTGATGAATGTAAAACATTCTTGCCTTTCTATTGAGAATTAAAATTCCCAGAAGGATCATAAGAAGAATGATGGGGAGGGAAATCCCTGAATTTTCTCTCTGGGGGAGCACTAACATTGCATCTGATTGACCTCAGAGGAAAATTCTGGATACAAACAGGGCAAATGTAGGTATCACACTTTTTCTATCCAAACTTTCGAATATCTCAAGGGTTATAAATGTAAGACAAATATCACAAATTACAGTGCCCAAACTTCCAAATTTATTACAGTTTTATGAAGCCATGCTTCTCTACGATCCCCATCAACGCATCTGAAAGACTGGGACTTCTAGATACCTGAGAAGTAAATTCCCATGGAAGCTGTATGACCATCCTGAGAGAGAATAGATTCCCCAAGCCAGGATGGATCTCTACCTGCAGTAAGGGTTGATAAATCCAAATGAGGAAGGTTTCAGGGTGCCTGGGTGGCTTAGTCAGTTAAGCAGCCAACTTCGGCTCAGATCATGATCTCATGGTTTGTGGGTTCGAGCCCCACATCAGGCTCTGTGTTGACAGCTTGGAGCCTGGAGCCTGCTTTGGATTCTGTGTCTCCCTCTCTCTCTGCCCTCCACTGCTCATACTCTATATCTCTGTCTCTCAAAAATAAATAAATGTAAAAAAATAAATTAAAAAAAATAAATGAGGAAGGTTTTGGATACACATAAACAACAATTAGCAACAATTATTGAGCCCTTCTCTTGTTTCAGAAAATGTGCCAGATGCTCTATATTTACTACATGGTTTAATCTGATCAGCATTACCATTTTGTGGATATACAGACTGGAGTTTGAATATACTAAATTAGTGATTCTCCAAGTGTGGTCCAGGGACTGGGAGGGGGAGATCTCAGAGCACCTCAAGGGTCCATATGATCAAAACTGTTTTCATAATTATATTTAGTCCTTTTGCCTTTTTCAACCTCCCTCTCTCAAGAGTGTGTTGTGTACTATTCCAGAGTCAGCATGGCATGTGATATTCCATGAGACAGAGTCCAGAAGAAATGTAAAATTTAGCTGTGCTTGCTTAAGCCAACACTTACAATTTTTTTCCAAAATGTAAAACATAGCTACTCCTTTTACTGATTGTTTCTGCTTTATGAAATATTTACATAAAAATACATTATATTAATATATAATTGAAATATTTCTAAATGAATCAAAATATTTAATAAATTCTCAGTTTTGATTTCCAATATGATACATATCAAGAAATTTCTGGCTCCGTGCTGACAGCTCAGAGGCTGGGGCTGTGTCTTCCCCTCTCTTTGCCCCTCACCCACTTGCACTCTGTCTTTCTCTCTCTCTCAAAAGTAAATATTAAAACAAAAGGAAAAAGAAATACAACCACATGGAGGAGAGTCAACATGGCAAAGAAGTTTGTTGGGGAGGACCTGATGTTCCCTCGTCCCTCAAACACAGTAGTATTGACGTCAGAAGACTTGGAATTCCAGGAATCTGGGCTATAGAGTGAAAGAAACATCTCCACAGTCCCATGGGGGACAAAGTAGTGGGCCAGAGATTAAAAAGACATTATGTCATAATTACAGGATGTATCCATCATGAAGAGCTAACAATTATAAATGTTTATGCCCCCATCTCGAAACACCCAAATATACAAATCAATTAATCACAAACATAAGCAATCTTATTGATAAGAACGGTAATTTGAGGGGACTTTAATACTCCACTTATAGCAATGGACAGATAATCTAGGCAGAAAATCAATAAAGAAACAATGGCATTGAATGTACACTGGACCAGATAGACTTGACAGATATATGCAGAACTTTTCATCCAAAAGCAGCACATTCCTCTAGAGTGCACATGAAATATTCTCCAAAGCAGATCACACACTGGCTCACAAAATAG